CTTTGCTGTGCATTAACTTCTTCACTGATTGTGATGAGCATTGGAATACTAAATAATGTGTGGAAATAGCCTGTTTTAAGGGTGTGAGATGGACAGATGAAGCATATTTTAAATATGGAGTTGTATGAGTCTGATTTTAGGAATATCTATAATACACCTACACCTGAGTGTGAGGATCAATTTCTAGCTCTGCTGTTTTGCCTAGGCTGTATCTAAAGCTATTAAACCTTAGCATGACTGCAGTAAGGCCCTGGCTCCATGCCCTGACAAAAACAAGTTCTGCAACTAGTCCCATATCTGGGTTTGCTTGGAAAGGAAACTTCGGTATGTGGGTTATCTGTGAGCCACAGTATCCACTAACCAGGTGGCTTTTCCTACTGCTAAATCCAGGCATGGCCTATGAAGACTGTTGTCAGGTCATTTGCAGCCACAATTTTTAGCGACATTAGTTTTTTAAAGACATTTAGGGAGCTACGTACAAGGTAAAACATGAACTTTGGACTCCTAGAAATTCTGCTAATCCACACACTGCTCAATTTTCTGTTCTAGAATTGGTTGTCAATGTTGAAATTGCTTTAAACTCTGAGCTACTCTGTTCTCTGTGAGACACTGAATTTGAAGTAGGAACCATAAAGTTTTCTGCTTCCAACAAGTTATCTGCAGGCATCTCACACTCACTTTAGATTTATGTACTTCATTAAAATCAAGTTGTAGATGATTAATCCACTTACTGTGAACATTAGTAGAATTTAGCAACAGAGCTTGACTGGGGATCCCATCAACTAGACAAGCTGGGAGATGGAATCTCTACCAATGTCTGAAACGTGATGCTGACGCAGAAGAACAAAATAGGGTGCACACTGCCTTCAAACTGTGAGCACAGGGAATCAGCAGCCTACTGAGAGCTTTAACTGCTTAATGAGGAATGTTCTGCATGCTGTGTATTACATAGTGAACATTTTTGTAACTTTTAACTACTCTTTTGTGGCAAAAATGTACTGAAATTTTTATTAATTCAATTTGTGTTAATTTCAGTTTTGAAAACAGTGGCCCTGGAGTGTGTCTACAACTATTCTGTGGCTTAGAAAACTGTTGTCCCTCAGGGTGTAAAAAAGAAAACCTAAATGAAGAAAGATTATTTTATCTCATCAATTGAAACAAACCAGAAACAACTATTTAAAAAGCCAAACAAACAACTTCTAAGAAATGAAAAAAGGATCATGATTATTTGGATCTTATTTGAAAATTTTTCTTCACCTTTTTTTCTGAAGAGTTTCAAGCCATGTGCTTGGGCTGCAATCTTTCATTTAAAAAATGGAGTAAATAAACTCTTTTGCTGTACACCAAGGCTGAACTTGTTTTTCAGCTAGTCAAAACCTAAGTTTTCAGAACTTACAGTGAAAGGTACTAGTGATTCAAGCAGAAAATTGTCTCTAGTTGTAACCTTTCTGAAATAATTATTAACTCTTTTTAGATAAATAAAATAAAATAAAAAAGAAACAAACAAAAAGTTGGGTATGATATACGGATAATTGTGGACTGAGGGACTATTGCAGGACTGAGGAATAGAACTTGTTGCTCACTTCCACCAGAGAACCTGGGAGTGAAGATCTGTACTTACTATGTCTGAAAGGTGGTGCTTGCCCACATGAACAAAAATGGATGTATTTTTAGAGGCTCATAACCTTAGAGGATCTGGAATTAGGATGAAGGAGAGGGAAAGCGTAAAGTGAGGATAGCACATGACTTCGTTTCATTTCTGTCATTGCAGATGTTTGGGAAAAACATGCTAGAGTCTTTTCAACACATTTCCTAGTATATAATGTAATACTAAGGAATAATCTTTGTTAATGTAAAGTAAACCCCTAAGAATTTTTTGTTTGACTGATAAAATGTTCCTTCTTGCATTGATCATTGCATTTTCTTCTTGCATGTTCTCTGACCCTCAGATTATTGCAATAACATTGTAGGTTTTTTGTGTCTGAGGTTTCATCATGCTAGGTGCTACGCAAGCTCTATTCTGATCCAAGGAGTTGACAATAAAACCAAATGCAACAAGAGATAGAAGGAATGGGTGTCTTTGCTCAAAATCAGTGATGCCATGCATATGCATGGCAAAATGTGTACATCTTGTTGTTTTACATTTCTATGAATGGTTATTGCAGGATTATCAAAAGTCTGTCACCAGATTGCCTTGTCTTTGTTCTAACCTCTGGAAGATGACTGTCGTTAGGATAAAAGAGCAAGATACTCAGAGGATTTGGGACATGACTGAATTGTCTTTTTCCTTTAGGGATCGTAAAACACTGAAAGTAGGTGCACAGCTGAAAATTTCAATCTGCTTTGCCAAGTACTGAGTGCCAAGTGCACTGTGGCCTTTCACGGTGTCAATGTTAAGCAAAACAATAATAAATAGCTTGTTAGGCACTTCTGCCTGTAGTTAATCTCTTGGTATTTGGCATCTTCTTTAGAAAGGTTCTGAACCAGAATGGACTCTTCTTTCTGAAATACAGAAACCAGTGCTACTTATTTACATACTGTTAGATTCACTGCACTGTTGAATGCACAGTTAATCCTTATAATATCTAGTTGTTGGAAAATTATATAGTTGTTGGTAAATTTTACTTTGGCTAGGCTGAATGTAGTTTTATTTTCAGGCAAAAAAATGTTAAGAGTTGTCCGAAGTCACCAGTGTGTTGCTGTTGAAGAGATTGCCCAATATTTTATCTGTCAAAAGTTACCTCCCAAATTGCAAACTACAGTGCTGACTTAGCTTCAGTGATTCTTAGCCTCCACAGATTTGTTTGCTTTTTCCATCCTTGACTGTGTTGAAGGATTCTGGTGGATGCTCTAGGGGCCACCCAAGGGTCATTCTTAGCTCACCAGTGACTTAGAATCTGATAAATTCTCTATCCATCTTACGGAGAGATTTTGGAAAGATCTGCTGAGATTAATTCACTTAGGTTATATAAATCTTGTCGTATTTGCTGACTCTAGTTGTCTCACACAAGACTGAGGCTTTTTCTGTGTATGTTGTTTTCAGGTGCTGTGAGCTATGAACATGAAGCAATTTTGTAGTTAAGGCAAAGCCAGAAAAGCCTGTTCAGTAAAAATCGAATAGGGTAGGATTGTTTGCTTAGCTTGTGGCTAGAAGTTCAGACTGGATGATAAGCATTCAGTTCAGTCCCTGAGTCAGTCTTTTTTAAAAGATAACAGGTTTAGTGTTTTTATAATTGTAGGGCATGCTGTGATTTTTTTTCATTGATTGAGGAAAGGAAGCCATAAATAAGCTGCAAATCTCTGATATAGGTAGCTGTATGAGATTTTTGGTAGGTGCATCTTGTGAGTCTGAATGTAATAAATTTGCCAGGCCTGCATTGCAAATTTAAACTTGTTTCCTGGAGTAAAAGCTATTCTCTCTCCTGCTTGTAAAAATGACATTTTGTTGTCTAACCAATGTTCTGTGTTAGAAAAATGCAACTATTCAGTATTGTACCAGCCCAAATGAGCTCCTGTGGCACATAACACTAAATCTGAGTGCTAATACTGAATTAAGTGATTGATACACAAAGTACACAAAATCAGTTTTGCCACAATGTTGTATCTTGGACTAAAGTGACAGAACAGAGGCATTCCTGCTTATGGCTGTTGTTCTGTCTGCCTTGTAACTAGATTTTTTCCAACAAGGTTCAAGATTTTGGTGTGATAGCATATAGGCACTAGATATTTTTAAAAACCTGTTTAGGCATCTTTTTGTGTCTTTGGGCTCCCTTTGTCTTCAAAAATCTTAAGGTCTTCAGAAGGCTTTTTTTTCCAGGATAATATTGACTATAAAATGTCTGTTAAGCTGAAAATTCAAAATAACAAATGTATTGATAACATGTTATAAGCCCTGGCTCAGGGAAGGATTTAAATACATCATCTACTCAGGTACCACACCATTACAGTTAGAGTGCTAGATAATATGGTGGTAATGTAATGTCACTGCAAAGAAATTAACCATTGTAGCAAAGGAACAACTGACTTCAAACTACCTTTTCATTTGTGTGTTTTACTGGTTATAAGAAAATCTATCTCTGCTGCTAGCTGTTTGCCTCATTGTTAATTTTTGAGATCTTGTCCTGGATGTTCTCTTTTCTTCAGTGTTTGACTGTGATGACTGAGTTGAAGATCAAGCAGTGTATGTTTTTTAAGTCTTAAAAAATACTCTGTAATAGCTGTCTCCAGGTTATTTACCTGTGTTTTATTAGTTCACGTGCCTCTATGGAACTGAATTTGTATTTCCCTTTTTGTTCAAATTGTCTTGGGTTTGTAACTTTGTTAGCAGAATTGTATATCCTAACACCCTGTCGTACCTCTACCAGCACAGTGTGAAAGGTTCTGCTAGGTTTGCTTTTAGCGCTTCCTAAGAGGATGAGTGATGGAGCATTGCAAACATAACAGGCTGTGCAACCAGCTCTATCTATAACATAGAAAGCATTTTCTATCAGTAAATATTCTGTATTTGTGTATCATTGAAAATCCAAAGGAAACCCAGAGTTTGGATCTGCTTCTTGGTCCCTCTGAGGTGCCCTTCAGAACGGGTGTGAATTTTTAACCATAATTTCAAGACCATTAGTGTTGGCCCCATTTTCCACTGTGTGAGAGGTGGATATCCTTGCTGTGGTTGGTATGTATGGGGGCTGTTTATAAGGTACCCTGACAACTGAATGGAATTCAGACAATTTAGCACAGATTAAAGGATTTGTTGCCACTTTCTTAATGAGTTGCATCTTGTCTTGGTGTCCATCACCAAGACTTTTCCTGCTTCCAGAATCCTGACCTTTGTGTGAGAGCTGTCTGCTGCTCTCCTCTGGCCTAGATGTAAATTTTCATGCATATGAGTTTGTCAGTCATTTGAGGATGAATAAGTAAAAGTTTTATAATAAACACTGGTATTGTTAGTATTAATATGAAGAGCTGCGTGGTTCTGATGTCTCTTTTATCTCTTTTTGTTTCAGTTCATTGCTTTTGCCTCTTTATTCTTCATCCTAGTTTCAATCACAACCTTCTGCCTGGAAACACATGAGGCTTTCAATACTATTATAAATAAAACTGAGCAGGTCGTCAATGGGACAGAAACTGTGCTACAGTATGAAATTGAGACAGATCCTGCCCTGACGTATGTGGAAGGAGTCTGCGTGGTATGGTTTACATTTGAATTTTTAGTACGTGTTATTTTTTCCCCCAACAAACTTGAATTCATCAAAAACCTCTTGAATATCATTGACTTTGTGGCAATCCTGCCCTTTTATCTAGAAGTGGGCCTGAGCGGGCTCTCCTCCAAAGCTGCTAAGGACGTGCTTGGTTTCCTCAGGGTGGTAAGGTTTGTCAGGATCCTGCGGATCTTCAAGCTCACTCGGCACTTCGTGGGCCTCAGGGTGCTGGGCCATACACTGCGAGCCAGCACCAATGAATTTCTGCTGCTGATAATATTCCTGGCACTCGGTGTTTTGATATTTGCCACTATGATCTACTACGCAGAGCGGGTAGGAGCCCAGCCTAATGACCCATCAGCAAGTGAACACACACAGTTCAAAAATATCCCTATTGGCTTCTGGTGGGCTGTCGTCACCATGACCACCTTGGGATATGGGGATATGTATCCACGGACTTGGTCAGGCATGCTGGTGGGAGCCCTGTGTGCGTTGGCAGGGGTGCTCACCATAGCCATGCCTGTGCCTGTGATAGTTAACAATTTTGGGATGTACTACTCCCTGGCCATGGCAAAGCAGAAACTGCCGAGGAAGCGGAAGAAGCACATCCCTCCTGCTCCTCAAGCCAGCTCACCCACCTTCTGCAAGACTGACTTGAACATGGCCTGCAATAGCACACAGGGTGACATCTGCCTGGGCAAGGACAACCAGCTGATGGAGCACAACAGATCATCAGGTAGGACCCCAGTGGAAATGCATGTCCTCTGAAAACACTTTATAGACCAGTATGTTTGGTAGGAGTCAGAAAGCAGCCAGCCTTTCTGCCTGGAGAAGACATAGCTCCCACCCTTCTCCCCTCCAACGTTTGCGTGTGTCAGTCTCATAGAGGACAAAGTAGGTATAGTGATGTTCCCAAACCTCTATGTAGCTGGTCTATACAGTTTTGCTTGCTCTGTTGAGAATGCTTTCCTGCTGATGATATCAACCTTTTCTTTTGCCTGTTGTTTGTTGCGTCGTATGGATGTTTCTTGTTTTTCTGCATGACTGTGACTATTTGAGCAGCCACCGTGTCCCACCCTGTTGGACTCCATGGTGTTTTGCCTCAGTGTCTGTCTCTTGTGTCAGCTTTGCCTGTGCCACATCGTGGCCTGTTAAGCAAGATCCTACAAAGAAGCAGTCATTTAAAAGGAGCAGGTGCTTTACATCCAAAGCCCAGCACTCAAAGGAAATAGGAAGAAATTCTCTTTCTAGTTTTCTTTCCATTTGGCATTCTGCTTCCCTGGCTAAAAGAACCTCCTTCATCTGTTAACATTGCATGATATTTATTATTAATTAAATGATAACAGCATAGATGATGTAAAGTTTGTAAAAAAAAAAAAAGAAAATGACAGCCCTTAGCAACATCATCACTATTGCTGTTGATTTTTGTGATTTCTATTACCTTATTTGTTAGAGTTCCAAATGATAAATAAGAAGTATTTTGTGCTTATCTCAGTGAAAATGTGTATCAAATGACAGCCTCAGCCCCTCCAAGCCACTGCTCCATATTCCATATCTGTGCAATTAAATTTTACCTCTCAGTATAATTAAAACAAATTTTTTAGCAGCAAGAATATTTTTTTTGTTTCTGAAGTGTATTTATTCTTAAGCCAAGCACAGTCTGTTTATAAAGCTAACATACCAGTCATTGGACTCCTGTTGGAACACTGCTAAAGAATAATAAGAGCAAAACCACCCATGACTGGTGTCGTCCAGTAATTGAAATTTATTTTTTAAAAAGAAGAGTCTATAAAATCGGTCTCTGAAAAATATCCTTCTTGGGTCTGTTGCTCTGTTACTGAATAGCATTTATGTTCAAAGAAGCTCAGTTTCACTCTCTGACTTACTGTTCACAAAGTTAACACAGCTTTTTGAACACAAAATATATTTAAGAGGACAGAAACCCTTGAAAGGACACACACTGAGAGTAAAATATAGTTAGGTTTACAGTACTTTGACTGATACCCACTTTGAGATAAAATCTTTAAAGTGTTAATGATAACAGCTTTTTCATGCCATCAGGTCCTACTAAAGGTATTCTGAATGGAGAAGGCTCATTGTGATCACAACAGACACTTCTTTGTGTCTGCAGCTTTATTTACAAAGGATCCTTGATTTACAATAGTCCTTGAAATTAGAGAGAAAGCAAATATGCAAAAAGGAGACATTTTAAAGTCTTAACTTTCTCTTCAGTAGTGCCACCACTCACATCATGCACTGTAGCTTTATTTCTGGTAGAGAATGCTATTAGAGTCACTAGGAATTCCGTGCAAAACTTCAAGGCTGAATTTCACCCTTTGCATTCCCAGTTCAGAAAAAAAAATGCTCAGATTTAAATGCAAAGGTAAAGCTCAAGTTATGTTTTTACTGAATTTGAAATAGTAGATAATTTTAAAAGAAAGTTCTTTGGGAGTGACAAATCAGGAAAGGTACAAAGTTTGCTGTTTGACAAAATAAAGTAGAAACCAAAGACAGCATTTAGTGTTGGGTACTTATAATGACAAGCAGAGCAAGTGTTTTATATAAAGAAATGAAAGCTAAGTGTGTTATTAAACAGCCCATAGTGCCAAATGTTGAAAATTTAGCCCTCCTGGGTGAGGAGTTGTCTTTAAAACATACCAAACATCATATTCTAAGCAAAAATTACTAACATGACCTCTTGTTTAGCAAAAAGGATAGCCAAAATAGTAAATACATGTTTGAAATATCCAAGACTGACTGTACTCTGAAGTTACAGTCCATAGTGGGCAACTAACTGAGCCTTGATTTGACTATTTCTTATTTCATGTTAGTTTAATATAACCTTATATGAGTTTTAGAAGAAGAACAGGAAAGTTGAAAGATCATTGTTCTTGAATAAAACAAAAATCTTTTGCCATTTTGTACTGATTAATGATTAATTGCAGAATTGTTTTCTTCTAATGATTTACTTTATAACTATTTTTTGAGTGATGGGAATATCTGGCATTCAGCATAAGCTCTTTGTGATGTCTCATTTCCTCATTCATTATTGTCTGTAAATGGGCATGGTGCTTTAACCAGTGTTATCAGGTGAAGACAGTGCAGGAAGTGAGCAGCCACTCTCACCTGGTGAAAGGCTCCCTCCCATCAGACGTTCTAGTACAAGAGACAAAAACAGAAGAGGGGGAACATGTTTCCTACTGACAACAGGTGATTACACGTGTGCTACTGATGGAGGGATCAGGAAAGGTATGAACTTCTTTCATTAGATCATAAAAGGTTACTCAGCAATGTACTTGTGAAAAACAATCTTAGAGTAAAATGATGTGCACAATGCTCTTAGAGGAAAGACTGTACTCACAATGTATCTTTTTTTCTTTACTCCTAGTCATTCTTTTCCTACTTTCCTTTTAGAAACAATTATCCCCTTTAGTCTTCAAAAAATGTGCTTGATGTTGGACCCTCATTTCACTTGTGTCTTTATTTGTCTGTTATCTCTAATGGAAAAGCCTGCAATTTAGACCTTGCTCATTCAACCACTCATCACTCAGTATCATTTGTCATTCTAAAAGACAAATTAGTCATGTAATAACTTTGGTCTGCTCTTAATAACTTAGTAAGATTTGCAGCTGCATACACTTTAAAATGTCAGAAGTAAGCAACATTTTTGTTCTGAAGACAAAAAAGCATATTATGAGATGCTATTTAGATTTCTTTCGAATAAAAGTTTGAGCTTACAATGCCAAAAAATGTTTCTTCTTTGCAATACACCACTGATACTAAAAGGTGACTTCCTATCCCAACCAGAATTCAACTGCAGTAAACAATGCTTGACCTTGCAAGGTGCTAAAAATACCTATCTACTTATTCAACCTCTTTAAGTCTGATTGCTCCCTGTTCAGTAGGATGGGTCCCAGGCAGAGTTTGCAAAACTCCTGTTTCTTATTTGTACCTCTCCCATGACTATGTTGCTAGCCCATCAGGCCACAGCTGGCTGCAAAACTAACATCAGGACATAGCCCTAAAATCAGCAATGCCAGTAGTAATCTTGCCATTTCCTTAGATAAGAATTCCTTTCATTTCTTGGCAAATTACATTATTCTGAAATTGTATAATTCTAACAGATTCCACGTTCCTGAGTGCTGATGTGTAGTTATTCACCTCAGAGTTCACGTGAAGTAGCCATGGGGCAGTGGACAAGCATTTTTGGCTCAGATTTTTCTGGCTTTTTTTTTTTTTAGAAACTTATTTGGTGTATAGAGAACATAGGTGTCTCAGCAAACCATATACCCTGAAGGAATTCTCTTGGGTTGTTCTGCAAATGCTATTTTTGCACTTCAAAAGCATGAGCTCATTAGGTTAAACCTGTGAAGGCAGATATGCAACCAGAGTTGCATGTGGATGGTATTCATGAAGAGTATGACTGTCTCTATGCTCCTGCATTTTACAGACTTCTATATATAATGTTTAGATTAAATGGAACTTGGTTGCAAACATGTTTTTGCACAGATTTACTACGCTTTCCACTGAGCATATATTTCACACTGTCTTCTCAACAACTAGGATTGTTTAAAGTATCTCTAATGGTAAGAGTCCAGTCTTTAAGGAGGTCAAGAACACCTGGATAAGTCACATTGCCATGGCATCTTGCAAGATCAGGTTCTGGACTTCACTCAGCAAGTTATGGCAGTAACCATAAATAGAAGAGATCAGAAATAATAAAAAAAGTTACCCATCAGCTCCTAGAGACATATTTATATAACAATAAAACATATTTTTTACCGGAACATTTAATTTGTAAATCCAGATCTAAAAGAAAATTATGTCATAGTTTTTACTAGAAAACTGGGGCTTGAGTTCAGAATGGACAGTTTTTTGATGAGAAATGTGCTCTTTGTCTGGCTCTGATGATAATCTTAGTCAAGGTTGAAATGTTTTAGCCACTGGCTTTGAAGTATATTTTATACAGAGTAGGGAAGTTTGTGTGTAATCAGAAAACATCTGCAAGTAATGGGTTTGAATACTTGAATTTAATTCACACATCAAGTCTACTACTTCTTTCCCTCCCCCTTCTTTCTTTTTTCTCTCTTTTTTCCCTTCTTTCTTTCTTTCTGTACATCCTTCTTGTGTGGTTTGTTCCTTGGTTGGTTCTTGATTGTGTTCAATGATAATTTGTTCTGAACTTTTTTTCATTGACATCTTATCTCCATCTCTAAAATTATGCTGATTCAGAGCTGATCCACTAAAATACCTGAAACTTAGTGATTTTGGATCATGTTTCTGTCTCTGTTCATCTTGTGTATCTGGTTTTCATTTTTAGGAGTACCTATTTTCTTTATAATCTTTATCATATTCCTCTATCAGTTCTTTCCCTTTATCATTAGAAAAGTAGCAGGAAAATAATCTTAAAAATTACTTTCCTAGTTTCTATGTAAAAAATCTACCTGATTTTTTTTTTTACTTTTTAATAAGCTTTATGTTTACAGGGACGTTAAATATATATACTAGCATTGTGCTTCCCCTTGATTCCCCTTTCAACTGTGATTCTTTCTAATTTGTGTAAATACTGATAGAAACTCAGAAACTGGAGGCTATTTCTGAAATGTATCAGAAGTCTGTGTAGCATCACAGTCCAGTCTGCCCTTGCAATCTGGAGAGAACATTGCACAGTGTTTTAGCAGACATGAGGTTATACATTTGTTTAATTATAGTTTTACAGCATACAGTTCTCAGTAGGTAAGAAATATGTTAATTGTTGTTAGGGGAGAACCTAAGATATGATTTTTCCGGAAGATGCTATCTGATAACTCTGTTATCTGAAGATCTGGACTTTGAACCAGTAACCATTTCAATCAGGAAAAAAAAGTCTAATGACATTGCATGTGATGTTTAGCTTTATTGTCATTGGTATTTTATAGTTTCTGTGAGAAAAATCTCAGTATTTCACTGTAAGCAATTTGTACCAGAACATCTTAACCTGACTAATGCTTAGATGCATACTTGTCTTCAAGGAAATAAGTAGTGCCACTGAAATCAGTGAGACTTCTAACACTTGCAGTGAAGCATGTATCCATGTACTTGAGGCGCAAGGTCCTTTCTGGCTTAATCTTTGTTGTATTTCCTTGCAATATCTCTTTCCAGACTGAGATTCTTTTCTTAGTAAGTGGGGTTTTTCAGGTGGTATTGAAAATACTCAAGTATGAAGATAGTGATGCAGTGAGTAGCAATGCTTTTTCATTGTTTTACAGCATAGCTTCTACAAAGTAAAAACAATATGTAGCAAAAAGTAAGTAGCTAGAGCTCACAGTGCATGCGAAAAGAAATGTCTGCAAATGCAATGTTCCCTTCAAATTGTGAAGCATTATGTGGCCACCTCATTTAATGATTAATTATTTACTACTTGCTTATGTGGATTAATACCATTTATTTCATTTGAGTCAGCTGGAAAAGAAACACAAATACAATGTTTTAAATTTGCCATTTGGGAAGCATTTGCAAATATGTCAAACTCTGCTATCTTATTGGACTTTAAAATTAGACACAAAGTCTAAGGGTTGATATTTCTGAAGATGGAGCTTCTTTCTCAATTATCATTCAGTCCTCTGCAAAAGTGATTTACACATACTGTATACAATTTACCTGGTTTCTGGTTTCTTTATTTTAAAGAAAAATTATCCTTTATTTGGAATTGAGTTTAGCAGAGATTATATAATTCTAACAGTTTCTATAGTCTGTCTTAATGAGTTTTTGATTATGCTTAGCCAGATAGCTCAGTGAGTAACCTTGTTGGAATCCCTTAACTTGCACTCTCTGCTCAAGCCCACAAAGCGATAATGAGTGGAAGAAGGAATGTGGAAGAGCAGGTCAGACCTTTTTTGTGGTGGTCTGTTTAACTTTTGGGGGAAAAAATAGCAGCATTAGTTTGTAAATAATTTTATTTATTAGTATCTTTTGGCAGTAATGTGTGTCAGCATTGAGTTCTTTTGCAGGCAGATTCCCTCTGAATCCCCAATAGCTCCTTGGATTACATTACACTGTATTGTTTGTCTGGTTTTTTGGCTGACTTCAACTGATGTCTCTGCATTTTCTCATACAAGGCTATGAAAAATCTCGAAGCTTAAACAGCATAGCTGGCTTGACAGGCAATTCTCTGCGACTGTCTCCAGTAACATCACCCTACAGCTCACCTTGTCCTCTAAGGCGCTCTCGGTCTCCCATCCCTTCCATCTTGTAAACCAGATGGCATCAATCGGCTATATAGTCTTAAATCAAATACTGTTTACCACATACTGAAAATAAGTGTAGCATTAACCACAGGCTCCACAAATACTGTCTAACTCGTGCATGATACAACTGTTAATAGTAAGAAAAGCCACCTGGGTAGCTGAAGATTTTTGTCTTGGCTTTTAAAGATTACTTAAGTAGCACTTCTCCTTTTATCTACTATATTGTCCTACTTTCCTGTGGCAATAAAAGGACAGTTAGTGGATGCTGTTGTCAAGTATATTCAATAAATAAGCATATTTTCAGGGAGATTTACTTAAAATAATGTGCTTCCAACTAATTATCAGCCACTCCATTAAACCTCCATTTCTTGTGACTCTAATCCATTCTGAAGATGTCTGCTTTAAAGGGTCTGCTCATTTGCATGGGCCATCCTGTCTCCATCACCTGACAAGCAGTGTTGCTGATTGTGGAGACCACAGAGGGCTCTGGATGTGTGTTCTCACATTGTTACCATTCTGCTGAAATGAAAGCACTGATAAACTGGTCTGCATGTGGGATTGTTTTCTTTGTTTAACCTTTTTCTTTATTTTTTAACTCTCTACTTGTTTATAAATGGCTTTATTTTGTGATTAACTTATTTCGGTACTGGATTGCTGTATCAGAGTTCTGAATGTCTCCGGTTGTTTGCACACAGATAACTGCAAAGAGGTTGTCATTACTGGTTACACGCAAGCAGAAGCCAGATCTCTTTCTTAATGGCTTGGGGAAGGCACAAAACATGCAAGAAAGGTAAACGCCATCCAGACTTGCAATTTTAAGCTAGCAAGTGCTGCTTGGTACTGTAGTAATTTCTCTACTCCAGGGTTCTTCAACATTTTCAGAGACTGAGTACCAAGTAAAATTGAAACAGTTGTGGGGGCTTTTTTGTACCATTGTAAGAGGGTAGTGGTTCTCAAGACAGGTTTTTGACCAGCCTTGTACCTCTGGCTCATGACCTTCAAAAATTTCTTCAATGTTTTTTGAGCTTTGTCCTATTTGTTGTTTGTCTGTCTGTTTTGCAACCTGTCTCCTGTATTCTCCATCTGTCTTCATAAAGCATAAAGATACTGTTAAAATGGCCCCCTCTTTTAAGTTTAACTAAGAGCATTTTTTCTCCCTTTCTCTTTTTTTTCATATGGACTATACATATGTGTATAGATAGAAATATATCTATTTTTCAAGTGCAAGTTAGTATCGTCTAGTCTAACTCATGTGTGCACTCTGAAGATTTTTCAAGTGGGATTTAGTAGCGGCTTTACAGCACTGACCGGTTGCCTATGGCATCAGTCTTCCTCCTAGCAACCAGCATTCATTACAATTTTGAAACTGTATCTCCTCTAGTGTCTTTTTCATTCAATATTAACCTCTGTTTATGCAACAGGATAAATGCAATGGCATATTTGAGGTTCTGGGCTGGTGAGGAAAAATTACCCTAAACCATAGAATTTTAGAACTACATGGGGAAGACCATAATGACTAAAGTCTTAAGAGATCATTGAAATTGTTGAGTAATACCTTATTGTCATGTTTTATTTTTTGTTAGGAAAAGAAATATTGTTGACCATGTAACATGTTCTTCTGTATATAGCCTAGCCCAATAGCATGACCTGCATGTCAGAATTCTTGTACAATAATGTATTTATCAAAGTATACATTTCTGATATTTAGAGATGTACATTGATTTACTTTTGGTAAAATATTGTCAATAGAGAGATAATTGCAAACAGCTTTTAGCAAATTAATTAATACAATATTTGGTGCTGCTGTTATATTAACTACAGTGTTGTACAGAATTTATCATGGATTTTTGACTGCTGAAAAAGGGACAATGGAATTTAGCCATACCAAGGACTGTACTGGAAAGAGACTGCTGCTGCTGAATGGGCCCTGATAAACAACTCACACCTTGAGGAGGTCACTGAGACTTTACGTGCGAAGTAGAGCTTGTTAAAGAAGATTAAAGACTGCTCATAATTACTGCTGCCAGAGGAAGGGGTGACTAGTCACTGTTGATGAGTCAGCTGTAAATATAAAATGTGTGTGCATGGAATATCAGTTTTTATCTATATCAAGGAAAGCTGAATTCATGTCATCATTGCTAAGGCTCCATGCAAAGACCCACACCCCTGTGTTTATTCTTCCTGGTTCCTGCAGTAAGTTGTGCTGTGGATCATACAAAGACACACACTTAATAATGATAGTGATGTAGTCTACATCTGTCTTGACTTCTGTCATACTAATGGCATATTTTGCAAAGGTCACAAATTTGAACAGAGTAGCTTTGTTTAAGTCCTTGCTTTCTCAGTTTGCCATGACCTAAATTGTTATGAATTCTAGTGTACATACCAAGTCTTAAGTTTACTTTTCACTTTGATAACAAAAATGTGACTGCAGATAAACATCACTGACTTTGTTCACAGCACACAGTCTTCTTTCATTGTTACCTCAAACTATAAGTATTATCAGAAATAAAATTCTGGCAGCAAGACTATTTTGGGTTTTTTTTAATTCAAAGTGTTGCAAACCCAGCATCAATAAGTATAAAAGTTGTATTAAAATTATATCCTACAAATGTATATTTTACATAAAATATATATTTGATAAGTTACTTTCTGTGATTCTTGTGGTAAATGGATCTAGTCTATTCTATGTTTATGAGACATTGCAGTGCTATGATGTGATAATTATGTTCTCTCCATCCTATTCAGTGGGAAGTTCTCCAGAATCTGTTTTGTCACCCTGGTGTCCCAATTGTAGGGACCTGTCCCAGTTGTGAAACTCTGTATCGTGGAACTTCTGTGAACATGTCAAGGTGCATGCACAATCCTGGTGGAAACCAGTGGAAATGTAATACCTGAATTGGAGAATAAAAGGCAAAAGACCTGGGGAGGAACTTGGAACATATCTTCTGAAGTGGCTCATGCGCTTTCTTTAGCTTTATTGGTCCCCTGCCTGCTACTGGCCATCCCAGTTCTCAAACCAGCTTCCTGGGGTGCATGAGGATTGGATTCAAAAACTAGCATGAGCTGGCTTCTGAAACAATTTAAAATCTATCATGTTAATGATGCTACACCTCGTGCAGAAGTTGCAATTGGGTTAGATGTTTTAAGTCTAATGGGAGTTTAATTGCATCCTGGTGTGAAATCAACCTAAAAAAGGGGTGAAAAATGGTTGCTTAAAAATTCTAATCTAATACTGTATTTGGGGCAACCTGTGAAATCCCCAAATACACAAGCAGTGCCTGAGAGGGCTGAGGTAGCTAGTGCGACTGTACATAGGATCAAAGAGGCTGTAATGCAGTATTTTGGCAAATGTGCTGAAATGTAAGAAAGATTCCAGAAAACAGGATCAAGAGGTGTTCAAGTATTGGAAAATGAGTTATAGTGATATATCAGGAAAGCTCACTGTGCCCGAAGGGTTAAAAGTTCTGTGTCCTTTTGAGCAGTAAATACAGAAAGAAGAGATGTAGTGATTAGCCAGGACAAGGCTCACAGCCCGCTCCAGTCACACAGGTGTGATGTTTCCCCAAGACATCCAGAGAGAGGTGTCTGGTTTTTCTCAGTGCTACACACGGATGGTGATGAGCCCCAGATGAGATGCATACGAAGTGGTGCATTGTGTTTGCCAAGACTATAGAAAACACTGATGGCCAGATGGTGTCTGACATCTACTGTCTCTGAATGATAAGGAGCCTGGATGGACCTCCACCAACACAGGACTTTCAGCCCCTAATATCCTGGCTGTAGCTACTTATTTTTCCCCTAGAGAACCAAACCCACATTTAAATGCTTTCTTTTAAAACACACTTGGAGGACAAGCCAATGGAGAGTCTGGTAACTTATTCATGTGTCTTGGGACTACAACCCAACTCTGACTGTTCTAAGAGGATGAGTTGTCTTAACTACCAACCCTCAAAGACTAGCCCCCTCCTGTTCTTCCTCTGCTTCTGGGCCCAAGAAGGGGTGAAAGTGCATTTTCATGAGTGGTGCTCCACCAAGGTTTAAATTTCTCAGGCTGAGGAAGGCTTTGAACCTAAACCTCACTCTTCAGGGTAGTGCAGTTCATATATCTCAAATACAATGTAAAGGATGTGCTACACATTCTCATTCACTTCTTCTTTTGGCCGTCCTTTAAAGGAAAGTAGGTGCAATGATCTTTAGTAAAAGGGACCCTCACAATGAGCATCTCTGTCCAAACTCCGAGAGGCCTTTGGCTCTGCAGAAGCAAAATTGCACCTGGAGAAAGGACTTTTGGTTCAAGCAGGAAGATGCCGTGTGGGTATTCTGGGTGTTAGATACCTACCAAGGAGTGGTTGTGGGCATTTCTGTGGTTGATTTAGGAGTCCAAAAAGTTATTTAATCTTTGTATAAGTAAGACTTAAGGTTAGAAGTCAAAACTAGAAAATAAGCAGTGAATTTATAAGTAATATATCCATTAAGACAGTTTACCAAAGGCTTTTGCTCATTCATCTTTTAAAATTGTAAAATCAAGATGTCAAAAATTGGCATCCTTTTGAAAGATAAACCAGTGCAACAGCAGGGTTTGTGTAGATATCAAAATCTGTGATGTAATGTGGAGATGAGCAGATTATGGGACCTTTGGACTTTGAATGCAGTTATTGTTCCTATGAGGCCTCATTCAGCACTGAGAAAACGTTGCTGTTCCAGTGAATTTTGAGACACTGCATTATGAGTACTATAGGTGTATTCTGTAAACTGGTTCCAGAACTGCTAAGAAGCATGCAGCTAATGATAATTAATATAATCCTATGTGTCAGGGGGCTTTTTCATGTGTGAAACAATTACTGTTACTAAAAGTTCTCTTACAAAAGATCTGGATTAAAATAAAGCTGTTAAAAGAGAAGGAAATTTAAGGAAACCTTTGTTCAGATGGGTTACTGGAAACTATAGGAAGGGATCAATCTGACATGAGCAAACTTGCCAGCATATTTAATGTAAAATATGAATTTTAGGAGTCATGAATAAATTAACTAATTGAAAGAGGAGAGCATTTTATCATCAGAAAAAATCATGAAGAAGTCAGATAAAGGAAATTGGAATGGAAAACTGCCACTAAAAAGAGAAAATGAATATATTAATATGTTGTCTTACAAGCAGTGGCTTGAACAATTGCATAATAGAGCCTTTGAATATTAATTGAGAAAAAATTGCTAAAAAAGAGAAAGGTTTCTATAAAGTTAAAGTTATCAGAAATATTAATATTTTTATAATAAATTATTTTCCCCTTGGAAAGACTTGTTATTTATTTGATTTCCAAGCAGACAAGTTATTTTAAAAATTGTGGGGTTTGAAGTTGAGAGTTGGCTCAGGAGCAAACACTGAGCTGTTAGTGTTGGGCGTTGGGTACCTAGCTGGTGTGCCATTGTGAACATTTTCCTCCTACTTTACTGAATATCCCTGGGACATGTCGAAATTGCAGAGGTGTCTGAGCAACCCCCTCCCCAAAACCCAGCCTTCTGTCACTTGTATTTTTTTTCTTACGAACATGTTGACGAACAGCTGACAGATTTCAGATTCCTACTTTCACAGCTTCACATTCACAGATGGCAATATTCTAGCATGTTTAAAAAAAAGAAGTTGGAGGTGGACACTTCTTGAAAATTTGGCACCAAAATGTTTTGCATTTCATTTAACATCTCCTGTATTATTTGCAGAAGAAAGACTGGAGATCAATTTAAACCATGGCCGCAGCTAGGCTATTCTGAAACTTTTAGGATGTGTTCCTTTTAAATTCTACATCTGGTTAGAGCATTGCTGCATTTTGCTATCTTATGAAGCTCTTGGTGTTCTCCTCAAATGGAACTTGGACATAAGATACTAGGGCAAGTCAGAGAGCACTATTTTGAGTTGGAATTGGAACAGGCTGCCCTGGGAAGTCATGTAATCACCATCCCTGCAGGTATTTAAAAGGCATATAGATGTGGCACTTAGGGATACAGTGTAGCAGTGAACATGGCAGTGCTGGGTTAATGGTTGGACTCCAAGGCCTTAGAGGTCTTTTCCAACCTTAACAACTCTATGATTCTAATACTCCTGTAGGACTGTAAACATGAATCGTATTATGAAGAAAAAGACACACCCTGGGAAATACTGAGGCTGTGATAGATGGCTGTAACCTATCTTTGTTTTGTAGAATGGTATGGGCACCTTTTCTTTAAAATACAGAAAGCAGATGATTTTGTGTCGGCCTCCTCAGAGCAGCATTATACTTGTGTGAGAGAATGAACTACCAAAAGAAGAAAGTGGAAGTTGTTCCCCTTGACCTTAAGACAGTTTATTTGCAAAAGTAGCAAGATCAGACTTCTTAAAGAAGCTTGGCCTTTGCAGTGAAACAATGCAAAACTCCATCAATCTGAATAATAGTTAACCATAGCGACATTATCCTGTTAAGGCTGATGCTAAATATAGAATGGATTTTCTGTTCCTTACGGGGTTTTCCTTGCTTTGTGACTAAATGCAGCATCAAGGTTTTACGAAAATCTTATTTTCTTCATGCCTGTGAACGTTGGTGGTACAATGAAGTTTGACGCTCTGAAAGTCTTAAAACGATGCCATTGTTTAAAGGCACTTTTTTGCATTTTGCTAGCATGAAAAATCAGGTTTCTTCTGAACTAGAACACTGGAAAGACGGGTAGAGGGAGCACTGAAAGACATGGTTTTCTTGAACTCTTGCAAAATCTGCCGCATGAAACTGTGACCTAACAGAAATAAAAACACACAGCTTTTGCTATGTCAGTGTCTTGACATTGATTGTAACTCTTCCAGTTCTGAAACACTTTTTTATTTTGTTTCAAAATCATAGCAACAAAATTGATTTAGTTACTGCTGTTTATAACTTGTACTTAACCCTAGATAGTTATCCTTTAAATCTGTGAATAATGGAGCAATTGTAAAGCTTAAGAGCATGAGGACTGTGCTCAGAGAAGAACTTAAACTTGATAGTTGCATCTGTAATTACTGAAGAGTTTCCTCAGTGCAGGACATTATCTGAACAAGTTCCTAGTGTCAAATGACCTCACTGACATCAGTTGCAAAACTTACCTTGACTCACTTAAGCAGACTGGGTCTTGGGAAGCAACTGGCTTATATCAAGGGCATTTCCAGGACATTTATCACCTACATCATAGAATCATAGAATTGTTTATGTTGGAAAAGGCCTTTAAGTCTTGAGTCCAACTGTTAACACTGCAAGTCCAAGTCCAGCACTAGACCATGGCCTTAAGAGCCACATCTACACATCTTTTAAAAGTGCAGGGTGTTTGGCAGCACCTCTGCCGTGTGCATGTTGGTGCATACTCTTAGCAAGCTGCTTGGGTTTTTCCAGAGCTAAAGAAGACGGATTGTTCATGTCTAGAAACTGATGTTACCGATATCTTAGATACCTCTTTCAGTATGGGTCAAATTGATCTCTGTGAGTGCCTGTTGACAAAAAAAGTATCTGGATCTGTCTCCCTCCTGGCATAGGGGCAGAGGTTCAGTGCAGAAGCAACGTGGCCCCTGTGACCCTCTGGTGTTTTGCTCAGTCTTGCAGACGTAGGATGCCAAGGCTGTTTCATGGACATTTCCCATCCACTGCCTCAGAAATAGTTTATTTTAGTTTTCTTGCAAGTGCAAGAAGCACTTGCATTCTTCTCAGAAGACGAAGGGAGTGTGAAATTGGAGCCTGCCTGGGAGGTGGCTCATGATTAGGTGTATGTGGGATGGACATGTCCCCACACTGACTCCTGAGCTTGCTTCTCTTTTTTTGTTTTTGCAAGAAATACATCTCTGGCTGAAACAATCCTGTTATGTGAGCTCCAGGCATACTTCAGAAACACTTCTTGGAAGAGCTTTAAGCAGAGCTCATGTTTACCTGTTTGCTTTTTCCCTCCCTTCTGCAGTCTA